AGTATCTAATCAATTTATTTATAACTCGATTATTTAGGCAAGGAATTTAGATATAGCTCAAGTGGAAACGTTTTTACGTAGTAAGAAGTTCAGACGTTTCTATATTTTAGAAACATTATCAAATGATGAGAAAGTCATTGTCAAAATAATCGGTTCGGATTCAGTATAAATATGTATAATATGCAACAAAGCCCACATAGAAATTTCAATGTTTAAAATTAGTGTTAATTGTGGTAATTCATAATTTTAATGATTAGGTTTCAAAAATTAACAAAAATATCTAGCTAAATAAATCAATTCATTTATTTTCTGCAATCAACTATCTGTTATTATTAAAAATTCATAAACAAATTGCCAGGGAATTTTTTAACAAGTTATTTTTATAAATCTTATAATTACAAACTTTAATTCAATAAAGTTCAAAAACAAGAATTAGTATGTTTGACATTATGTAAAAAAGTTTGAATAAAATAGAATTTTTTATCTGAAAACAAAATCTTTTATAATATTAATATTTAAGAGAATTTTTTTGTTTAACTTGCATGTAAACTTAATAATATAGTTACAATTATATAATGCTTATTTGTTATCATGTTGCAACTTGTTGCAATCATTATAGCAAGCTTTATTTTAATTGGATAACTAAATAAAATATTATACAAATAATGATTATATATTAAAGTCTTATTATTGTAAAAATTATATTATAAAAATTTTCAAAACATATTTTTTATTTTACAAATTATTAAAGTAATTTGACAATTAATAAGATAATTTAGAACTTGATTAAAAAATATTTTATTTTTTTAATAGGTATTTTAATTATAGAAAAAAAGAAAAATATTTATATAATTGTGATTTGAAAAGTAAAAATAATATTATATATAATTATAAATAACACAATATATTTATCATATCTAATTAAGTTAAATATCAAATATAAATCAATATTTGAACTTGATTGACAAAACTTTATATTATAAATATTATAATAAATTAATTATAAATACA